GCCGAGGACAAAAAATCAAATCACTTGCAGAAATATTTAAAATTTTAAAGTCAAGCGATTTGAAGTGTAAGTGTAAATTATGAGTAAGAAAATGGAGTTTTGAAAATTTGCTCCAGTGATTAATTTCATCCGAATTTCATTAGATAATTCGATTGAAAAGTATTTGGTAATCGTTTTACGACTTTGATTCAGGAATATGAAAAGCGACCATGCATTATATTTTGTGCAATGACTCTAAAATATGAATGTTGAAGGGCGCACAACGCATAGTGCACACATAGTTTACGAAAATGAATAAACGTGGTGTGAATGCATATTGATAAATGATACGACAGTTAATGATATCATTCGATAACATATACGCTTTATGAACTTTTATATAGTTTCAAACAGGAAACTGAAGATGATAAAAAAAAACGCGAATAAGGTAGACCATTCAATTAACGTGAAAGTCTAAAAAATATGACCGGAGTTCATTTTCCTGTGAGAGAAGAAACATCCTGTACGTTTGACTAATCAGTTATCACCTGAATAAAAGCGTCAGATGTGGGAGTTACTAAACGAATAACCTAAGGGCTGACGATTCTGGGAATCATGGGCCGTGAGCGACGACATAATAGGAAAATAAATATCAGAAAAGTTGGGTTTTCTTGGTAGAATAATAGTAACCTGAATCATGATATATTACAGTGATCGATGTCAAGGAATTCCATTTTACGAGCCACAGTGAAGTTCTAAGAATGTGGGATGTGGGTCACGAAATAATTAGGAAAATTTCACTGACACCTAAACAAATGTGTTTGATAATAAAAACTTTATAATTATTTTTCATTGTGCAGGTGAAGAACAAGCTGTGAATTGAAAGTTATAAAGACCTTATATATTTCTTATACTCCACAATTAGGTAGTTACAATCAATTACAGCATCAGGATCATGGTACAAGGAAATTTGGAAAAACCTGAGTTTATACCGGGTTTCAACGAATCTATTAGGCAAGGCATAACTTTTGAAATGTAAGGTGCATCGAAATGAGATTTGATTTGAATTATATATAGGTCAATGCGTGTGTAACTGTATTTAAAGAGGAGAGTTTCCGATCATCAATGGAACACCCTGAGTATTCTGACATGCTTGTATTTCTGAGATGATTTTGGATCAGAATGAGATATATTTTCAAAATTTTTTAGGCCTACTCAATTTTTTCAGTCACTTTCGATATTGTATCTAGGTGGCATGGTCGGACCTACACGACACTGATCTAAGAACCCAGTTCAGAGGTGATGTAAACATACATTTACGTGTCTAACTATCATTTTCCGAATGACGACCATTTTTTGACAAGCACCTTCCGAAAGAATGATTTTTCGACGTATCTAACGATACTATTTTTTTTTATTAAGAGCATGAACATTAATTAATAATCCAAGAAAAATACTGGTTGCTCAATTCATTCACTTCTGTCGAGTGTGTCATGAATGATAGTTGTCATTTTCTGATCCAGAATTGTCTCAAAAATCCAAGAATGTTAGGTACAATATACAGGGTGTTCCATTTGAGAATTCAAAACCTGCGCTATTTTTGGTGAAATCGAATGTGACAAGAAGGTGAAAAATATGCCGAAACTCGACTCTCCACATGCAATTTTCCGCAATTTTCCTACATCACATCTCAGTTTGATAAATCTGATATTCCAGATTGTCTAATAGAATTTTTGAAACCCAGTACTTATACTCAATAAATGTCACTTACTGATGAGATATAAAATATTGTTTCCACATTTCTAGCTCGACCAGAAATGATACTGTTTGGATTTCATATGAAACACTCTGTATATTATCGGATTTTCGAGTTCTGCATATTCGATAGATTTGTTGAGATTCGGTCAACTCAATGAATGTCAGTTTCTGACACATAAATTATCGAGTAAATCATCGTTTCCACTACTTTTAGTTTCACCAGAAATGATACTGTTTGAGTCGAGGTTTGAGTTTTGTATGGAACACCCTGTATATAATTATATTTTTGAGTGCTGCATATTCCGATTATTCCAATTTCACCACATATATGTGGCACTTTCGAACATCAGTATTTTTTCTGTCAGGGATATCTGATTCCGATAAGAATCATCATTTGCTGATGAGGCTATAGGACATTCGATATTTTTGACTAGATTTCACTTTTTCTAGTCTCATGGCACACTTGGATGGAAACGAGGATGGAAAACTAAAATTGCAATTGAAAATAGATGAAAAGGATGCTTGAAATGTCCTGGTACCAAAAGGCAAGAATGCAATAATATATGAGATATTCCGAGAGATATTCTATTTGAGAGCTGAAAGTTATGGTAAAACCTAGAGTGTGAAAAAATCATTTACTGACGCTCTTTCACCAAAATTCAATTATTTATCTTCAAAATCATGTTCCAACCTTTTTGAATCAATTGGTAGTTCACATAATTATAGTTATTGCTATATCTGTTGTTGATAATCTCCTTTTATATCTATCGGGATAATGATTTTTGCAATCATGTATAAATTTCTTCATGAAACTTGATAGTCTCAGTTAGGGTTCCCAAAGTAACACAAAAATACCATAAGTATATATACTTCGTATTTTTTGTTTATCAAAAAAATAAATGCTCAACCCGTTTTCAGTGAATACTTTTGCTTCCGGAATGGATGTAGGAGAACACAACAGATGATGAGAATCTGATGAATAATTTATGCCGATGAGATGTATCAAGTGGAATTTGCAATTTATTGATATTGCGGAATAAAATATTATAAATCCTGTTCGTGTTGCATATTTCTTCTTATCTAGTATGTAGATTTCAACAATAATCAGAGATCAAGTTTCTTCAGATAACGAAGATTTCTATTGATGTTTAAATACAATATTTTTACAAAGTGAGTGACAAAAACGACATAACCACGTTATCTCTACTTCTCTACTGTCCAATTTTGATTGAGGGAACTGAAAAATGAATCAAATGGTACAATATGTATACTAAGTATGATTAATTGAAGATTTTGCCGACTTGAATTCATCGTCAGCGAATTTCAACTTTTTATTTCGAAATGTGAAATTTGTATTATTGTTCCTGATGAGATGTTGAATTTCGTGTCTCACAAACCGATTAGTTGAATATCGGGTAAATGACACGAACTGCGGCAGTCACATATATTTTGATGCATAGTGTATACTCGTCTCATTTCATAATACAGGACACAGAGAATATTAAATTCTATTTCTTCCTCTACTAATTTTGTACGAATGAGTTATACCTTCATCAATGAATTCAGGAAAGTTGAAAAAATGAGAATTTACGTTTCCATTTAGAGAAAAAAGTTGACAGTCGCTGACGATGCTAATAATTTTGTATTTGAGAATAGTTCGGGAATATGGAATTATACAGTGCTTTTCTCCAATGGCTCCCACCCCCCTTTCATTTTTTGAACGGCCAAACTGAAAAAAATCGAAATTGGCATAATGAAATTGATGCATGAATACTATATTTTGAAATACAATTGACAGATTGAAATTTCAAGTCTGCGACTGAGCGGTATCTGGAGAAAAAATTAAATTGAAGCTCCTGACAAATACTTCTCAACCCTGCAATATAAATTTCAATTTGTTTACTTACTACGAAATGGCGGAACATCAAATAGTTGTCTGAACACATTAATATAGATATTTCATTCCAAGCAGATGGAGCACCACCACATTACTCCAGAAAAGTTAGAAACATTTGGATAATACTTTTTTAAGAGGCTCTTTGAAACAAAACACCTAGAATGCTTGATTTATGTAGAAATATCGACCTAACTGTGTTTGGCGTAAATTATCGGATAGGCTGTTCTAATGTCAGGAAGTTCAGAGCAACCATTTCGAGCATCTCCTGAACTCAGCTTATTTCCTCAAATCATGAAGTAGACGTCGATGTGTATTCAGGTCATTGTAAATTGTTCCGCCAATTTGTAGAAGGTGAAGATATTGACGTCATATTCTATGAATGTGGAGTATTCTTAAGGAGCCTCTTTTCCATTTGATTGTATCTCCCAGATGATGCCCAGTCGCCATCTTGAAATTTTGATCTGTCAATTCCACTCCAAAATATAGTATACATGCATTACTTTCATTACTTCAAGATCCAATTTTTTCAGTCGACCCTTTATTAAAAATGAAGGGAGGTGGCAATAAGGAGAGAAAAGTACTGTATAATAATTATGTAGGTCAATATTTTTTGTCTTGAAGTGAAAAAAATATTCGTGGGAATGAAAAATATGAACAATTCAAAAATATGATGAGCAACCTTCCATCGAGCCTCTTAAACAAATATCTCGATGAATATTGAATAACTGGTTGCAACATAATTGTCCAAAATTTAAAAGCATAATAAGGAGCCGTTCATATTATGACATACAAAGTTATATAATACTCTAATGATGAACCTGATTCATTTTTACCACTACTACACATTCTCTACAACACACCATCATGTATGCTTTCTTCGATCCGAGCAATTTTTTTCCTCTACTACTGGTCAATCAAAAAATTTATATTTCTACTAGTCAATGATGAAAAACCAATTGACCTAATCCTCGACACAATCTATCCTCTCTGAAAGGCTCCGAATTTGATTCTCATGTAAATTGTCACTTTTTTGACAGCTCAGTTCTTAACATACTATTCACAAACTATTATATCGAAAATAAATGCGCTAGTTGTGAGAAAACTAATATACATATAAACAGACCACGATACAGAAGACTATCATCGCACTAATACAGCTCGGCTTGAGAAATGTCTTCTGCGCTCTATGGTATATAATTAATATTAGGTCAGGCTTACAAATGTGTGTATCAGTAGATTATGGAAACGATATCACATACAAAATACGAATAAACCCTTGGATAAACTCTCGGGTAAACCAGAAAATATAATCATCCAATATTTATTCAGGCACTCTTGCGATATTTCATTTATAATCTTCCTTTACCTTAGAAATATCCGGAAGTACGTGGAGTCCAAGATCTTGCAGCAATCGTTGGTCACCACTGGTGACATCGAAACTTGACAAAACGTAAAAAAACGTCAACCACGCGGCTAGATAAGCCAAAAAACAACTGCCGCCCATAGCCGGGGGCCTGGAGCCGGCATTAGTTTGATTAGTTGCACCTGACACTGTGCGTTCCCATACGCACCGCACTGGGTAAGGATTTACCGCTGTCGCCGCGCGAACTCGCACACTCTGTATACTCGTTGTTGTCGCTGTGATGTGCGGCTATTGACTCACGCGCCACGAGCGAGCCACTCACACTTTTATATATGAGGAGGGGAATTATTATAGGTACTTTCTGGAATTGATATAGTTTGCTCTAAACACCCTGGTTCTTGGTTCTTTTTAACCGCGACCAATTCCCAGGATCCGCGCTAATCGGCATTGAATGGATTATGGAACGGCAATAGAATTCTCACCACGCAGGATGCAGTGCATGTTGGAACAGTCATACTGTGTGCATTTCCCAGTAATACTACTATCGTTTTCCGAATGAGAAATTAGCATTCAATATTATTATTATACTGGGCGTCCCAAGAGTGCACTCGGCACTTGAATTATTTTTTCGTGAGTATCTCAAAATTGAGATTGTTATAGATTTGTATAACGAACAATTGCATTTTTCCGGCAGATGGTACTTTATTATACTTCTAGTAGGTATACTTTATAATCTTCGTCAACATTCGACTTTTGAACCGGGTTTCTTGTATATTCTTGATTCTTTCGACACAAAATGACATTCACAGTACAACTTTCATTTATCTCTTTGAACGCACAGAAGAAAGAACCCTCGAAAGAACCTGATATATATATGTTCGGAGAACAAACGTACCTAGGAAGATAGAGAGGAAAGGTAGGTATTAGATTTTCATTTGGAGATCTTAAGTTCTAGGGAATTCATCCTTTGACAAAGAACTGCGAAGCCATGTCGTTCTATAGACTTACGAGTTCTGGTAAAGAGTTGTTCGACATATTTCAAGGCTGACGACGGAATGATATGCCCAGATAGCACAATGTCATTATTAGAACGTCCATAGAATATTATTCGAGAATATTTGAATATTCTCAGAATATTTTCAAATATTATACAAATATTCTAGGGGCCTCCTATGAACATACGAAACGGACTGTTTCGAATATTCTGAGAATATTACTTGTGTATTGAAGGAGAAGAAAAACAAATGAAAAGAGTTTGCTCCGGTGGAAGATGCGAACCTACTATTTTAGCTGAATTTGTGGGATAATCAGCATTGAGGCTAGAGAATAATAGGTTGTGTCCATGGGCGCCGCTACTTGAGGGCAAGGGGGGGCGGCCGCCCCCCCCTGGATTTTAGCTTTTTCAGTCAAGACGCGATAAACTTAAATAGCAGAAATATCAAATATCAGCTGAGATCATCCCAAATGTGAGTTCATTAGTCGTTCGGTGAACTTCGCATTTGCCCGTCGGCCGTCGCAACCATGTGACTTCCTAAGGCGTTACAAACACTCGGAACGCAAGCACTTGACTCGAGCTACCCCACCACGCGATACGCGAACAAGTGTCCTATCAAGTATCAGTATTTTTTCAGTGGCCTGTGCGGTGGATTGTTGTGCGCTATGGATGGTTTGAATTTTTTTGTTATTATGCCTCCTACAACATGCTCGATTGAACGATCGTTTAGTACTCTCAAGAGAGTGAAAAGTTGGCTCAGATCAACTATGAGCGAAAATCGTCTTTCTGGACTGGCTCTCATAAGTATACACAGAACATACGTTGATAACAATAAGCTTGAAATAATTAATAAGGTCATTGATTTATTTGGCATGGAAAAAAGAAATTTAAAATTCCTTTTTGACGAGTAGACTAGGATTGCCCTCAGTGCAGTATCTTTATTTTTCAATTTCATTTTTTTTGCTTTTATTTTGGACGAAAGAAACATTGTTTTATTTATATTCTTGTTGCCTACATGCATATTGCCATATCAGTATTTACAAGTGCATTTTGAATATGGAGTTTATTTGTATTTTATTTTATATAGGTATTTACCAAAGAGTTTTGATTTAGATTTGCTATTATTATATTTTGATGGGACATGTATTCCAAAAGGCCATCGATTTGGAATTTGGGTCTTTCAGCTTTTATTTTTGTGATATTTTTGTTTTAATGTAGGTGTTTTGTTTCGAAAAAATAGTTTTTTTTTTAATTCCTTGTTTTACTTATCAACTGACCTACCCAACCTACTTTACCTATATCCTCTTCACAATTTCTTCAAACCACACTGGTAGTGAAAATGAGTCAAAAGGGTTTCGATTTTACCTATTACTTATATCTAGTATAGTACAATTAATTCTTTAAATTTGAAAAAACCGCCCCCCCCCCTGGAATTTTTACTAGCGGCGCCCATGGTTGTGTCAGGGTGAACAATATAAATATTTATACAAGAATAGGAACATCAAAATCATATATTTCGATTCGATTCTCGATATTATCAGAATATTCAGAAGGAATATTCTCAGAATATTCATTTATGTCAAATTGAATGTTCATAGAATATTCTTTGCAGAATGAGAATATCCTATAATTTTTCTGAGAACATGATATGAGAATATTCTGGACTGAGTATATTGAACGTTGTCAGAATATTCATGAAATATTCTGTGCTGTCTGGGTACTGATGACTGAGCTTGTCGAGTACATATCTAACCTCGCGACTAGAGCAGAATACGTTGATGCCAGGAATAACTGCAGCCGAACAATAGATGCTTCGAAAGAAACATACAATGCCAAGATAAGATCGAAACTCATAGATTGTCCCAATGGCTCCCGTTCGTTTTGGTCTCTTGCTAAAGCAGTCGGAAGAAATTTCACTAATAGTTAATTTCCACCACTGTCCAAATCCGACGGCACATAAGCAACAACATCGCAGGGGAGAGCAAATATTCTTGCAGAGAGTCGAATGCCCGAAATCGTCTTGCGTCAACGCACTATCAGACGAATTTTGCTTGGTCTCCAAACGAATAAGGCTAACGATCCTGATGGAATTCCACCCATGTGCACCAGAATTAACACCGATTTTCTGCAAGTTGTTTACCGCCTCGTACAGGTCGGGTATTTTTCCATCATGCTGGAAGACAGCTAGAGTCCAACCAATCCCCAAAAAAGGGAACAAGAACCTGCCCAAAAACTACAGGCCCATTGCCCTGTTATCAGTAATCTCCAAAGTGATGGAGAAAGCCATCAACATTGAGCTTATCAAATATCTGGACAGCTCAGGAGTCATCAATAATAGACAATACTGCTTTCGCCACCGAAGACCTACTAGAGATCTACCTGCCTACGTCACACATTTATGGCAAGCTTCATTAGAAAAACACGGGGAATCTCTAGCTGTCGTGTTGGACATATCGAAGGCGTCTGACCGTGTTTGGCACGAAGGACTCCTCCACAAACTACCATCATACGGCTTACCACCTCAGCTATGCCATCTCTTATCGAGTTTTCTTTCAGGCAGATCGCTTCATGTGGTGGTGGACGGTGTATCGTCTGATACCATTGTCATCAATTCCGGCGTTCCACAAGGATTAATTTTGGCACCAACATTATTCCTTCTTCATATCAATGATCTGTTGGGAGTAACAATTCGTCCCATCCACAGCTTTGCAGATGATAGTACCCTCCATACTGCGTTATCTTCCAGAATTTCTATTCCTTCCCAGGAAACTAAGAACTCGCGGCGCAGGCAGGTCAATGATGTCAATGAAGACCTTGTTGAAATCACAGCCTGAGGAACCAACAACCTAGATGAATTCAACGCCACCAAAACTCAAGCCTGTAATAGCCTGTATTTTCTTTAGTAAGGCGGAACTCAGTATGCCCAACATTGTAATGTCTAGCACCACCATCTCCACCAAGCCCACCATATCTATGCTCGGTATTTGCATCAGCAACACTCTTTCATGGGATAATCATGTCAGATCTGCTTCACAAAAACTCGGTTTCTTGTTCCGTGCGAAAAGCTACTTTACACCTCAACAGCTTCTCATGATCTACAAAGCGCAGATACGGCCTGTTCTAGACTACTGTTCCCACATATGGGGTTCAGCACCAAAATATACGCTGATGCTCTTAGATTCCATCTAGAGGAGAGCCATCCGCCTGGTGGGTGACGCCACACTCACTCACTCTTTGACATAATTGGAACACCTTAGAAAGGCCGGCGACCTTTCACTCTTCTAACGATACTTCCACGGGAAATGTGCTTCGGAAATCTCTGCTATCATTCCTTCACTAGCAATACCAGTCAGACGAACTAGACAAGCCCAGTCAGCACATCATTCCGTTGTCAACCTCGGGAGATGTCGAACAGCACTTCATCAAAACTCCTTCTCCCATAGAACGGCTAGGCTCTGGAATTCATTGCCTGAGCAAGTATTCCCAACAACATATAATCTCCAGAAGTTCAAAAAAAATTCCAATACCTACCTCCTATCCCTATCCTTCCTAGGAACGCACGATGTTCTTTGAACATTATAGGGATTCCCTTTCGTTAGCTCCAAGCGATAAAAAAAGCGATAAAAAAAAACTGGTTTTGCTAGTTTTGCAATGATAGCAGAGATTTCTGAAGAACATCCACCGTGGAAGTATCCATAGACAAGTGGAAATCCGCCGACTTTCCTACGGTGTTTCAATGGTGTCAAAAAATTAGTCAGTGGTGTAGTACCACCCACCAGGCAAATGGCTCGTCTCTGGATAGTGGATGGAATCTAAAAGCATCAGCTTATGTTCGGGTATATACTGTACCCCATATCATGTGGGAACAGTATTTTCAAGGCCGTGTCTATAATCACGCTAAAGTGGATCTTATTTTCAGAATTCCTCCACGCGAAATGCGTCATGTAGGTATAGTGATATCCACGTTCCGCATGAATCTTCTTCCTCTTGATAAATCCACGCCACTTTAGCATGGAGCATTTCCTAATGAATAATCCACGCTTATTTTTCTCTCAGAGTTATACAATATTCATCCACAATATTGAGAAATTCAATCTTTTCGCTATAATAGTGGAAAAAATTAATGAGTTTTTCATCGACTTTTATCTCATCTCGAATCCTGGATTGTTATAGTCATTGAGACTTGATCACCCTGTATAAATTCCCTATGTGAAAATAATATCACTCAACCCATATTGGTGCAATGGAACAAGAATCAGGAAGAAAGACATCTTATATTTTTCTAA